TTTCGTTTTTAAGATTTCCTTCCCTTTCCCCCCTTTCCCCCCTTTCCCTTGCACCTTACACGTTACTTGATCCACACCACGTAGCTGTTCTGCACCTCTTCTTCACCTGACATTTTGCAGGCGCACAAACGGCTAAACCTCCCCAGTGGCACCAATTTATAAACCTATTGCTGTGCACAGATAAAATTCTCTGTTTCTGGGTTAAAAGCAACACAAAGAATAGGACTGCTTTTGCTGTGAAGTTCCCATAACTCCCGCTAAGCCCCTAGGTATCACAATTTAAAGGAACTTTGGGAAAATGCAGCGTTCTTTGGGGCTAGTAAGTTGTAATGCTGACATCTGTCTCTATTTTGCATCATGTGTTTCTGCATGGTAACGAAGCACCSTTGTTAGCACTCAGGTGCTTGGATTCTCCAAAGCCTTGGTCCTCATCATCCGCTGATTGTTGTTTTTAGACTTACAGACCTAAAATCCTGTTTATTTGCAGAATCTSCCCTCCTGCTACCTGTTGATCCTCTTGCCCTGCTGTGGTTCCCTGCCTTTAGCAAGCAGGGAGAGTTGGCAGCCCGAAGCTAGTGCCCTTCTTGCTGCATTTTACACTCTTACCCTGAACCTGAGCAAAGAACTGCCTGCTCGGGGTTATTCTTGCTACTTTTCCACCCACCCTGCTTTGAGAGAAGCCGGGACAAGCAAATTGCCACAAACCACCTTCCTTGTGCCTAGAGGAGGGCTCCCAAAAGYGAGCGATGCGAAAAGCCTTGTGTGATCCACGTTAACTACCCTCAATGCAAGAGAGAGTCTTCTAGTAGACTAGCTGGGTCCCTATCAGCTTGCTTTACACTTTGACATCTTCATATATATATATATATTTAGACCTTAAACACATAGTGTGACCATATAGAACAAGGTGACTCGGCCTTGCTCTTCTGCAGGGGCAACTGGCCGTCTGCATCACGGGTCCTGCCGTCGAGGGGGATGTTTTTGGGGTCCACACTTATATAAATGACCTAATGAAGGAAAGTGGTTCCTGTGGAGTAACTCCAAGTTGCTCCTGGCCTCTGGAGGCCGCACGATCCGAGGCCTCGGAGAGATTCCAGCCCCAATGGCAAGAAAGGCTGAGGAAACTGGACCTTAAAGCTGAGGGAAGCGCACAGCAGCAAATGCATTAGCACTTTTGTTAAGGTGCACTTTGCATGCAATAATATAAACTCTGCTGTTGTCCAGCGCGCTTTTATTGCCTTTTGTTTAGGTGTCCGAGTCAATAGTTTATTCATTAAAATGTTTATGATTCCCAAGAGTTTCACTGACTGGCACAACCKGTCGCTTGTCTGAAGGTCTGCAGTGAAAGCGCATTATTCATTAGTCCTTATCCATCATTTGCAGTTTGTCATTTGTTATTCTCTTGTTTTAAAAGTTGGTGCTCCAATCAAGGAGGGGAGAGAGCACCATGTGTCTCCGTGATCAGTCACAGCCATGAATAGCGAGGCCTGAAGTGAGTGGTTCACAAACAAGCCATAGGCTGAAATTTGTTTGCATAATCTATTCACCGAGTACTTATGAATAACGAATGCGCTCACAGAATCGGAATTGTTTCAGAAAGCCTTCGCAAACAGAAAGAAGTGCGACATATCTCGGATAATTTATTCCCGATGAATAATTCAGCCCATTCTATCGCAGACAGTCTACTAATTTTGCAGAGAAATTATTCAGTCGCTGGAGATAAAGGCTCCTACACCTTATGGGCTGGCGCTATGGAAGTGAGCGGCAAAAGCTCCCTCAAGTTTTCTGGGATCAGGACAAAGAAATGGTCCAAAATCAACAGGGGACCTTCGATTTTGCCTGATGCGAAGCGTATTCCTGGTGTCTTCCTGATTCGCAGCCTTTGATATTAGCTTTGATATTAGCTTTGATATTAGCTTTGATATTAGCTTATCAGAACTGATACAAGCGCAGCCAGTATCGGAGCGCGGGCACAGGACCCCAGTGAGGGTCAGGATGTCCCTCCTGAGCCCTGCAGTGACTAGTTCAGATCCAAACTGCTCCCGAGCTGAAAGCTGGGAAGTCAGAGCTGCTCAGGTAGGTGCAGGATGCGCCTTAACACCAGGAGTCACCAAACTGTATTATGTTGCATCAGATTAGGAGTGCTTAAACTAATGTGAGAAGACTGAAAACCTGCACAGGGTGGAACAATATTTCAGGGTGGGACAATATGACAGGCTGGGACAATATKACAGGCTGGGACAGTATTACACCGTGTTCCTTGTATCTTCAGTGCTATCAAATGCAACCTGAGCAGCTGGAAGGAGAAAAGGTGAGGGAGRTGAGAGGGGCTAAGGCAGCGGCCAGCACACCGGGCGCGACGCTGCGGCCACCCCCTGGCCAAAGCCACCGCCGTGGCCCTCACMCCCCCCCACGCCCCCCGTGGGGTCCCGGCCGCGGGTGGCACCCGGGGACGCCGCGGTGGCCTGGCCGGGCCGCCCTGCCAAAGCGGCCCCGCTTTCTTCCCCGCGCGCCCGCATGGGATGATGCCACTTTCTTCTGCGAGGGGAGGGGGGCCAGTAGGTAAATGATTATTCCCGGCCAGCACAAATGTATTTTGTTTGTTGTAATTAAAATGTTTTAATGAGACAACCATAAAATCAACCATTAATTATTTTTTTTCAAGCACTTCTGCTTCCTTTTGAGCCAGGTCTATTTAGAAATAGTTTAGAGAGTAGCCTGCCGTTTTATTCTTTCTGCGGTATTATACACAGGAGTGGAGAAGTCATTTATAAATAATTACACAATGTTTTGGGTCTTTGGGTTTGTATAATATATCAAAGCGATTAGTACCCGCATTGTTCCATTGTAAATGGTTTTTTTCCCCCTTCCTTTCAGTTTCACTTGCCTTGTCTTCTATCTAAACCTTTTTCGCGAAATCCTTTGTCTTCCTCATTCTTTTAGCTTGTTACAGTGCCGGGACATTCTTCTTATTCAAACACTCACAGCGTGAGCAAAGAAAGCTACTTCTGTCGCATCTTAAGTTTTACCATAACTTTCTGGCATTTTCTTTTCTTCCAGTTTTCCCAGACTACCGATCGGGTAATGAAGAATTATAACGTACATCAATTATTGGCGCTCCCGGGGTATTATGCGCCCTGAATTCAAGGGGGAGAGAAAGAAAAAAAGAAGAGGAAAAAAAGCACTTTCTGAGGTTTTCGAGGCACATGGGAGAGGATGCTGGTTATTTATATCATCTTTCTAAGCATCAGTTTTGTGGGACTCCTGCAAGCGCTTCCTTGGTGGCTGCAACCAACCGCGCGGCTTTGGGGCGCGCAGGGCTCGGTTTTGTGCGCGCCGGCGGCGGGTTTTACTTGTTCCTTTTATGAGGAGCCCAAACAAAAGCATCTTCAGGCCAAACAATCTGTCTGTGCGGATAATGGCCCGGACGTCAGTCACGCGCCCGGCGCTGGGAAATCGATGCTCCTTTTAGAGGGACGCTGGAAGGGAACGCGACGCCGGCGCCCGAGTCGCCAGCGCCCTCGGGGGGCTCCCTGCGTCACCTCCCCCCACGCCCCAACATAGGGATCCCCCCCTGGGAAAAACGCCGCTTTTCCTACGGTTTGGATAACCCTGTGCCAGGTTGCCTGGTGCTGGGCATGTTCCCTGCGGGAAAACTGGGATTCGGACGTCCCCTTGGAGCGGCGCAGGGATGTCCCCCCTGTGCCTGGTTGTCACAGGGGGGTTTCTTCCCCTTTCCCCCCCATCCACCTTCTCCCACCCACAATCCCCCTCTTTTGTTGATCCCTGTTTTCTTAATTGAAGCCCAAATGCTGCTCCTAAAAGGAAGAACCAAAATGCACCGACCACGGTGGCGGTGTGGGCAAAATCCTCCCTGCCGGGGTACCTGCAGAGCACTTGCCTTTAAAGACCTTTTGTGTAAATAAATCATCTAGGATTTTTTTCCAATGCAATATATATATGTATTTAAGGCAATCTATGCTCATTTTTAATGCAATAATGCTAAGGTGGCAGGGCTGGAGGGCTGGCGCTGTGCGGGAAGCAGGAGGATGCTCCGGAGCAGCCCTCGCCGCAGGGGCACGCGGATTTGCTCCCATTTGCATAGCAGGTGTTTGCTCCTCGGCCATTCTTCCCTAAAGGAGTTTTAATACGGGATAAATTACTGGGAATTAGGAGGAGGCAGGCGACAGGGCAAGCGCTCCACGAGTCTTCCTTGGGGAAACTAAGAGAATATTGACATAAAAGGAGGAAAAAGCAAAGGGGCTCCTGCCGCAGCCTGGGGTGTTTGGGGGCTGCAGGTGCCTCCCCACAACTTAAATTAACCTTAAATTCTCATTTGGACCTAGTAATAATGCGGTAATCTCAAAGACACTAACGCGATTATCAGCCTGAGGATCTCTGAGTCAGAAAGTCTGGTGAGGGA